TGAAAGATATGTGTTGTGTTTTAACCAAAAGGTAGTACCATTCAGTTTGTTCCTATAGAATTTGGATGGATTGGGTATATGAAAGATATGTGTTGTGTTTTAACCAAAAGGTAGTACCATTCAGTTTGTTCCTATAGAATTTGGATGGATTGGGTGTGTGAAAGATATGTGTTGTGTTTTAACCAAAAGGTAGTACCATTCAGTTTGTTCCTATAGAATGTGGATGGATTGGGTATATGAAAGATATGTGTTGTGTTTTAACCAAAGGGTAGTACCATTCAGTTTGTTCCTATAGAATTTGGATGGATTGGGTGTGTGAAAGATATGTGTTGTGTTTTAACCAAAAGGTAGTACCATTCAGTTTGTTCCTATAGAATTTGGATGGATTGGGTATGTGAAAGATATGTGTTGTGTTTTATCCAAAAGGTAGTACCATTCAGTTTGTTCCTACAGAAATGGTTTGTTATTTTACTTAATAGACCCAGGATATTCTGAGCTCCGTTGGTGGACAAATTGGACTATGGCTTGGCATTTCCATCATTAGTACGTTTCAGACAATCATGCATTTAACACGACGCGTCTCAAATCGCTACAAGAACAGAAAGTCTCCGGTGACTACTATAGCAGCGTCACCTGGAAGAAATAAGTCCACCTGGGACGACACAGGAAACTGAAGGACGGGAAGTAATGTAGACAAAGAAGGGTTCATGAATAATTTTCAGATATGTTGTAATATTTTCTTTTGTTTTCTGATGCATGCTGATAAACCACAAAATGTTATTTTAGTTTGCATTGTTATACGATAATTTTTCTGTTATTCGAGTGTGTTAATATCGTTTCCTTTTGTTTTTGATATTTCGAGTTTAATTTTAGGAAATGATCAAATAAAGGGTCACTGTTTAGAGATTTTATTAATTTGGCACGGCACAGCAGGAGGTTTGGGAGGGATCAATTAAATGGACATCCGAGATAGAATCCAAATAATTGGTTTCCCGGGGTACTCGAGGATAAAGAAAATCCTCCTTCGCCCCACTCGCGAAATTAATTACAAGAAACGTAAAAAAAAAAGAAACGCATGTTAATGCATGCAATGCATGTACATATATATATATATACACTTACTCGCGAGGAATGTAAGAACGTGAGAGGCACGAGAGGCAGAAGTGAAGAGGTTAAGGCAAGGTATTCAAATAAATTGGCCCTTTTCGGGGGGACGGGAATCTGTAGATCCTATGTCCGATTTAATTTTGATGGGGGGGGGCGGATTACCCGGAGAAAAGCCACTTTCACTAGATGGGGGGGGGGGGCACTAATAAGTTCCTAACTAGTGCCTAAGATGTAGACTGTGGAAGATTTGTTGAGTTAGATGCTGTGTTTCAGAGACCCGAAAAAGATATAAAACAAAATAATTACAAAGTTTAACATCGACGTCGGGAATGTTGGATTTAATTCACCATGAAGTTAACTAGTCGTTCCACGACTGGTAGGTAAGATTTCAGGGGAATTTTGGCTTTAGCTGATTTGGAGGCCCTAGTCATGATTCCTTTGAGAGTTGGATGACATGACTGTGGTGGCTTCGTCATCCATTTTTCGAGAAATAATAGCTACTGATTGGGATTGTCGATGAAGTTCTTATTCGTGTTCTGTGATGCGGGTTTGGAAGAAGGTGGCGGCTGGCGGGGTGTTGTAGTGGCAGTGGTAGTCCGGGTAATCCTGATCTGCTGGGTATGTCGTAGTATTTCGTGAGTAGTAATAGACCAATAAATGGGAACAATAATACACAAAATCTTGTTATTATTATCATTAAATGTGGTTCATTTCTTCTGCGACAAATCCCTTCAATGTCGTATAGTATCTATAGCCTTGCATTAAAGTTTTTTTTTGTAACATTTCAAGCTTCTTTGTGATTTTATTAATTTGTCACATTTCCATTGAAAATATCGATAACTGGAATTCTCCTTTTTCTCATCTAACTGTCTTTCTTAGCAATAAGAAAATATTAAGACCTGACCTTCCGGTCTACTGAAATAGTTCACTGAAAATTTTACTTTTAGTGTGTTAAAAAATGTAAATCTCGGATACTTTTCTAGTCTATCCGAAACGGAATAAGCTTGAACGTTTCTTAAGCTACAGTTTCTCTGTCACTGTGTAACGCATACAGCTTAATGTTGATCCTTTACCTAATTTACGGTTTTCATTATTGGTCACTGTTTAACCAGATCAGTATATGTTTGCTTTTCGGCTACTATTCAACCAGATCAATACATTTGTTTGTTTGTCACTGTTGAACCAAATCAGTTCATTTGTTTCTTGGTTGCTATTCAATCGCATCAGTATATTTGTTTTTGGCTATTATTCAACCAGATCAGTAAATTTGTTTGTTGGTTACTGTTGAACCAGATTTGAACATTTGTTTGTTGGTTACTGTTGAACCAGATTGGTATATTTGTTTGTTTGTCACTGTTGAACTAGATCAGTACATTTGTTTCTTGGTTGCTATTCAATTGCATCAGTATATTTGTTTTTGGCTATTATTCAACCAGATCAGTGCATTTATTTTTTGGTTATTGTTCGACGATATCAGTATATATTTGCTTTTTGGCTACTATTAAACCAGATCAATACATTTGTTTGTTTGTCACTGTTGAACTAGATCAGTACATTTGTTTCTTGGTTGTTATTCAATCGCATCAGTATATTTGTTTTTGACTATTATTCAACCAGATCAGTACATTTGTTTGTTGGTTACTGTTGAACCAGATTTGAACATTTGTTAGTGGGTTACTGTTGAACCAGATTGGTACATTTGTTTGTTTGTCACTGTAGAACCAGATCAGTATATTTGTTTCTTGCTTGTTATTCAATCGCATCAGTATATTTGTTTTTGGCTATTATTCAACCAGATCAGTATGTTTGTTTATTGGTTACTGTTGAACCAGATTTGAACATTTGTTTGTTGGTTACTGTTGAACCAGATTGGTACATTTGTTTGTTGCTTACTGATGAACCAGATCAGTACATTTGTATGTTGGTTACTGTTGAACCAGATCAGTATATTTGTTTGTTGGTTACTGTTGAACCAGATTTGAACATTTGTTTGTTGGTTACTGTTGAACCAGATTGGTACATTTGTTTGTTGCTTACTGATGAACCAGAT